TACCAAATATTCCACAGCCACTGCAAGATGGCCAAAATACAAACAAAAACACTTACTGCTTCCCTAATACCGCTTGTCATAAACTTCCGCTTATTGATTATCTTCACGGCAACTTTGTTACAAGTGCTCTTCTCAAATGCCAGTTTGACTTCTCCACAGGCACCACTAAGGTGAAAGCACAGCTGTGTTAATGCTTACAAATACTTTTCAAAAACCTGCATAACAAGTGTAGACAAATGAAACAAAATTGTTGGTTTACACACAATTTGAGGCTGCTGCTTTCTAACTCTCTGAATATGGCATGTTGTCAAAACTTTCTCAGAAAGCATTCAATGGTTAGGAAGTCTATTTAAATAGCAAGTGATGTCAAGGGCCACCCATTCAAAAATGCATGAGTAAATATGTAAAGCGACTAATCTGTCTGTACAAAGGGTACCAGTGAGTATCAAGGACAGGCTCTGTCAGCATTTCCATCACACAAATGCATTTAAGAGAAGAGAACCTAGTGAAGAGTTCTCTCAACACCAGACTGCACAAATCTGAAGAACAGGTATGACAGTACTTTTATTTTTAGTAAGTAGCAATTGTACTGCAGAAATAAATCCTTGTATTTTGCAGTTGGATTTGTTTCCACTTAACCGTTCTCCAAATTCTTCACTGACCATCTTTTTCCAAAAGATAAAAAAAATAGCTTCTCTCCTTTTTCCTGAAAGCAGTTCTTTCCCCTTGTCTGAAAGCCTCAATGGTGATGTTGTAGAAAGCTATATTCTGACATAAAGTTCTTCCTTCTACTTCCACTGACTGAGTAAATGAATATACAAAATGTAAAAACTTGTTAAGAGTCTACAAACTTTATACTCTGCTAGAAGAAAAACCCCTGGGTTTCAGAATTAATGGTAGGTTACAAAACCCAAGCCAATTACAGGAATAAAGCCCAAATTCCTGTTTAAGGTGTTGTAAAGAACAGGTTTACTCAGGTGTTATCATTAATTTTTTTTCTTTTTTTCTTTTTTTTTTTTTTTTTAACTGTAACTCAGTTAACACTGGCAATAATTCCAGCACACGGTACTGAACACAGTAACAAAATTAGCCGTTAATACTACAGAAAGAAGGATGCTTACCTTCCCAAAGTCCTTGACATGATATATTTCTCTCTAAATTCTCTAGGAAACACCAACTGATCATCCACCGTAAGATCAGAAAATACAAACACTAGAAAGACAAGTGGAGATAATTTCCCAGCTATTAATTTTAAAATTTTATTATAATGAACAACTATGCTTCCTGAGCTTTTATAGTCAACAACGTAAGAAAATGCTGCTTGCTAGAAGAAAAAAATAAATATATAAAAAAGTTAATTGATGCTATAAATGACATCACCTATGGGTTAGCAAGGTGATCTTATTACTTAAAAACTGATATATTTGGCATTAACTTCACAACAGTGCTTCATCAATTAACACTATGCTTAAGGACAAAATAGGCAAGAATTTCAATGGCACAATAGGGAACAAAGAGAAGTGACAATCTGGAAGACAGCATCTTAATGGAAAAGCAAAGACAAAGAAACAAACCCACAACCTGCTATTTTTAAGAGGGTTTTAAAATTATTATGCAGCATCTGATAAGTACCTGGGTTTTTTTCAACTTCCCTTGAACAGTCTGTTTCCTCTGTTCCCTGCACCACACACACAGCTACTGAAGCACAACAGTGTTTCAAAAATAGGAAAACAACTATAAAAGTTTATAGTCTGGTAAGGTAGTTCCTGATGCAGGTCCTTTTCAAATTTTTCATTTTTTTTTTAATAGGGTTGAGGTGGATACAGATAATTTTTATGTGAGTACTAAAACATCAAAGCATAGCTGTATTTTAACAGCACTCATGAAGTTCAGCTTGCAAGAAACATTCAAATCACCGCAGAAAGGACCTCTCAGTCAACACATGAAGAATCTGCTTATGTTACAGTACATTTTACCCTTATTAGTCTGTATAGACAATGCAATTTCAGAGTTGTGAGTCAGTGGAAGCCGCTTCCCTTTTCCAATGAGCTCTCTATTAACAAAAGTTCCATTGGCACTGTGGTCTTCAATGTAGGCAACATAGGAATTTTTTGGACCCATTTCCTCAAAGAGAAAAAAAAAAAAAAAGGAAAGGTAACATGGGGGAAAAAATTACTTTACTGTAAAGACATGACAGACTATAGAAATTTACTATTGTTGGCTCAAGAAATCAGACTACTGAAGTTATTTCATACGCCGGCTTAATGGAGCATTGACAAGAGTCTTGTTAAAGGACTCAACACTGAAGGTACTTAAAACTTTGATTTCTTTAGCATCCACCCCTGCCAAAGTCAATTTTTTTCAATTACGTCAAGATAGAAAAGGACAGTTAACCTTTTTATCACCTACCCTGAAAATTCGGAAATGCTTCTTGCTATAGTTTTGGTAGAAGCCAGTCTCAGACAATCCTAGTTTAGAAAAACTATAATTACAGCTTTTGTCTCTTCCAAACCAGTATTCATCATTCACACAGTCTGTAGACAAATGAGAATTAAAGCAGAGAGAGAACACAAAATTGCAGGAAGTTATTAACTATGGCACTACAGAATGATGCCAAACAGTAGTGAGTAGGATAACAAAAACAAGATTCTTCCTACACAATCAAGTTTATTTGTCTTAGTGCATGGTGCTTTGAATTACCAACACTTTGTACAATATTTTAATAATTTTACCCTCTTCAGTAATAGTAGTTTTCAGTTCACCTTCAGCAATACAGAGAGACTCGTGCAATATAAAAATAAAATAAATTATTAAATGGAAAAATTAAGTAGGAAAGAATATGAATAGCCCAGAATTCCTCTAAGTCTATGGAAACTATGTACCTGGGTACTCAGTATAAACACTGGGATGTAGTAGAGAATAAAACATTACTGCAAAAGTTGCAAGCTTGTACTTAAATTTACTTGTACTTAACTCGAAAATGAAAAGACACTGCTCTCTACCAAGCTGTTCAAAACTTTTCTGAGGTACTACAAATGAACCAAGAGGCTTATTATGGTATGCCCATACCACAGTTGCTGAAACCTTTTCCAAGTGCAAAGAGCCGACCCCAAGGCTGAGGAACAAGTTCTTCAGATTCCTGGTCCTCAGGGATCGATGGAAGCTCCTGAGTGGGAACAGTGTCCAAAGAACTGAGGGTCCCAGAACTTGAGGAAGACTGACTAGTACTCTGTGACCCACTGGAAGAGGAACTGGTACCACTCTGTGACTGTTGGGCACCTTGAGACTGCTGTGCTTCACTTCCAGTCTCTCGAGACATGTTGGCTTCAAAGAGAATGTTTAAAAAAATAATTACTACAGCAAAGTAAAACTGAAAAACATTCATACACCATACTGCTAAAGTCCAAATCTATTCTCTGTCTTCAAAGAAGTAAAACTTTCCGCCAAAGTGTGCATGTGTGGATTAATATGTAAATCCCCAAAAATTTTACAAACCATGATGTTTTGCCTTTTAAAAAAAGAATGTGGTGTTCCCTCTACTGGTTTTAGAGCTGCAGTGAAATCTTATTCCCAGATTTTCACTTGAGCTCTTCAAGGCTCACACTACTTCGCAAGCACATGTGCAACACACACTAACAAAGCATCCCCACATAAAGCAGTAACCATTGAAGCTTCCCAAATACAGAGGTAAAAACTGAAGGAGGAGAAATAAGAACTATGAAATTAAGTACGTTTTCTTGACACTGAAAGCGCCCAACAGATTTATCACACAGCAAGCCAATTTGGTGTTTTGGCTGAATATTCCTTTAATATAGGTTATAACTCATGAATTTTCGCATACGTCTTCCACACAGGTTCTATTCAGCAATTTTATTTACAAAATAGCCCCACCTATACATAATTAATACACAAAGCTCTGCCAGCCTCACACCACACCCCTAGCAGCTGCTACCAAACACAGCAGCAAAAAAAAAAAAAAAAAAAAAAAAAAGTCAACAAACGACATCGACCTGCCTGTTAAGGCAGAGGGATTTAGAGAGTATCGTGCCTTCCTCCCCACTTAGGGAAAAACAATCCACCAGCGAACTCATCTTTACAGCTGGCTTTCTCCAACAGCATCCGTGCATCTGCGCTGAGGTCTGCGGGCCGCTGCCGCCCTTTGGGACCACCTGCACTTACCCGCCTGCCAGCGGCCCTGCTTCACCGCTGTACCTTGGTTTGGTAACTGGTTGCCATCCAGCTCAATGTATAATCTAGGCTAATTTAAATCTCTGGACCCGTTTGCTGCATTTCATTATTAGCCACAGAAAGATAACAGCGCCCTAGGTATTTCCTGTGTCACTTATTTTACTGAGGTGTTCGGAAAGGCAGGCAAGGCCTGCAAGCTCCAACAGCGCGGCAGCCGCCCTCAGGGCCAGCGCCGGGACGCTCGGCATCCGCGGGGAGCGGCGCAGGCGGGACCCCGCCGCGCCGAGGGGCGTCGGGGCGCGAACTGCCGACGCGCCTTGGGCCAGCGCCCGCCCCGGGACCGGCGCTACGGGCAGGGGCTCGGCCACCGGCCGCGGCACCGAGCACCGCCCAGCGCCTCGCTCCCGCCCCCGCCGCCCGCAGCGCCCCCTGCCGTCCAGGCGGGGCCGACGCGCCGCACGCCACCACATCCCACGTGCGCGCGGCGCAGCGCCCCCTGCCGCCCCGCCCGAGCACTGCAGGCCCCGGCGGCCCCGCGGGCGGCACGACCCTGCCGGGAAAGGCGGCGGAGCCCGGCCCGGAGCGGCCGGCACCGGCGGGGCGAGGGCGCCCGAGAGCCGGGCCGGGCCCGCGCAGCCGTGGGGAGGAGGGGATGTCCGAACTCACGGGTGGTGGAGCACGCGCCGCTCGCCGCGCGCCCCCGGGTGCCGCGTTCCTTAGTCCGCGCGCGCCCCGCCACGCCTCGCCACGCAGGGAGCCAATCAGGGCCCGGCCGGCCGCGCGGGGGCTGCTGGGGGCTGTAGTCCGTCACCATGCAGGCGGCGCTGCGGCAGCGCCTCGGTGGGCTGCGACGGGCGCTCCGCGCTCCCCAGGCGGCTCCGCGGCCCCGCTGCGTCGGGCCCGGCTCCCTCCCCGCCCCGCGGTGCTGGAGCTGCGGCGGGTCCCTTTCCGGCGACGCCGGGCTGCCTCACTTCTGCCCCGGCTGCCGGGCCCTGCAGCCGCCGGAGCCTCGGCCGGACCTCTTCCGCCTGATGGGCTGGTGAGTGCCGGCGGGGCGGCCGCGGGCCCGGCCGGCCGCGGGCCTCACGCCGCCTTCTGTCGCTCGCAGTGATCGCTCCTTCCGCGTCGATGCGCAGCAGCTGCAGCGGCGGTTCCGGAGCCTGCAGCGCACCGTTCACCCCGACCGCTTCGGCCAGAGGCCGCCGGTGAGCGCCGGGGCGGGGGGGGGGGGGGGGGGGGGGGGGGCGCCGAGCGGGCGGTGGCCGCGGTCTCCCGGCCGGGGCGCGCAGGGAGGGCTCCGGGCCGGGCTGTGCCGCCCAGGGCGCCGGGTCCCCGCCGCCGTCCTGGTTTGGGATCAGAGGAACTGTCCGTGTTTCGTGTCCTGGTGCGTAAAAGAGAATCCTCCTCGCAGATTTGTGGCGGAGGGGGACGATAAGGACCTGCTGTGGCGCCTGAGATCGTAGTCGCGTGAGATGACCCGGTGTAGATAGTCGTATCCTCGCGCTTCCCACCTCTGTTAGACAGTTTTCGGTTTGACACACGTGTTTTGTTGTGGGAACGCTATTTCTCTGCAGGTAACAGTGTAATGTATGTTGACATTTTTATCAACGTGTTACAATAGTGACCATCCATTACAAGATTAATCATCCATTCGCAGGAAGAACAGTGCTACTCCGAGCAACACTCCTCCTTGATTAACAAGGCTTACCAAACCCTCCTGAACCCCCTGAGCCGTGGCCTCTATCTAGTAAGGTGTCCATTACTTATTTTATTAATAGTGCTGTAACTAATCATAGGTAGCTGGGGCTGCTGGTGGTAATGTAATGAATCAGACCTTTGACTCCATCCTTAACACGCTAATTTGAGTTCCTCTGAAGAATATTACCAGGGATTGAAGGGAGACTGAAAACAAGCTTGTCTGAAAATTAATCAGCTTTTCCACTATTTTCTTTAACGTTTTACTGATTACTACCATCTCATCTGCTGCTTATGATACAGTAGTCTGCTTCCTTCATCACACATTGTGTCTGGCTGTGGCTGTTCCTTTGAAATCTGAGTCTCCCCTTGGCAGCCTTCGTTATATTTTTTTGCGTTGGTTAACTGCTGATTTTTATGATCTACCTATGGAGCTAATTTTAAGATGGACTCTGTTTATGCACATATCATGAGGTAAACCTGAAGTTTATCAGATATTCAAGAAAATAATTCACATTTAAATAGATGTAAGAATGTGTATTTCCAAATTCACACTTTCTTCACCAGCTGGAGCTGAATGGAGTAGAACCAGCACAAGAGACAGACTGTGATGCAGACTCAGTGTTTCTCACAGAAATCATGGAAATTAATGAGAAATTAGCAGAGCCTAAAAATCAGGATATCCTTGAAGAAATTGAAACTTTAATTAAAGGTAGGTTATGAATTGAGGGTTTTATACAGCACTAATTTACTGTATCATGTAATATGAGAATCTTTTTGAAGACTTTACTTTTTCCAATGTATTTCTTTTAGTATCTCTAACTTGCATTAGTCTGGAATTGACTCACGGCAAGAGGTTCCCCCCTCTCCCCCAATGTTGTCTTTACCAATTTATGCCACGTAAACATCAAATCTGGCTTGAGCAAATCTGTGTAACAGTACCTATTCTGATGGCAAAATAAATGTATATACATATATATATAGAATATAAAAAAGAGCTTATTCAGCCTTCATCAGCTCAGGGAAAGTAGACTGTTCTAAAAGAACCAGTCAAAATGAAGTCTAATAAAATGCTTGACTGACCACATTAATTTATTTTACACAGACATTGTATTTCTTTCACCTTCTTCAAATTAGCAACCATTATCTTAAGTGATTATTATCCTTATACAAGCAGCTTTCTTGTAAACCAACAATATATAAACATTTAGTTTACTGGTATATTTCATTCTTTGCAGTAACAGTAGTGTGTCAAAAGCAGTTAGAATAACTAGAATTAAAATGAAGTAGAACAGAAGGAAATTAACTGCAGCAGGGTAAACTGATACACCAAAAGTAAGTTAGGTTTCTGGGAAGTTAGTGACCAATGATTGCCATTGGAATTACTGTCTGTAAACCTGTCTAAACAAATAAATATATCTGAAATTATATTATTTTTTTAAATTGACAGCAATATTATTAAAAGTTCTCTCAGCTCCCAAAAGACTATGAGTCATAATTAAGTTTCTCACCACAATCAGAATGCAGTGGTATTAAATATACTAAGTACATAACAAAAAATGAATGATTTGTTTTACAGTTAAACAAGAAGAACTGACCAAAGAGGTGACTGCAGCTTTTGAAAGAGGTAGCCATTTCTATTACGTATTTAGCTGCCATACATATCAGTTATAAATACTTCAAAAAACCACATTCTCTTACTGGCAAATATTTTATGAGATACAGAACAGAAATACTGCACAAACAATTGTTCTTTGTTTGATAATTAGAATAAATACCTCCAAGCTGACCTTTACGATGATTCAGGAAATTCAGGACCTCATATCACATAAAAAAATAAAAAAATAATTTAAAAAAAAGTTCGATACAAAAGTTCCAGTTAATTCAATTTGCATCAAAATGATCACTTCAAGTGGGAATGCAGATGGTTAAAAAACTTCTTGTTCGTTTGTTTGCCAGAATACCAGGAAGGAGACTTTTTCATAATCAAACTTGTCACCTCTTCTGAGGTTTCAGACTTGAATTTGGGAAATCTTGCTCTGCGGACTTGAAGCTGTCAACAGAGTAATGGGTGCTGTTCTTTGCAGTGAAAGTCAGGACAGGAAGAATTCTGCTGCTTGCCACTGAAACTGTACAGCAAGAAAAGACCCAATGCCCCATTTAGCCTAAGGTTTTAGGGACTCTCTCTGCAATAATCAACCTAACTTTGTTCCACAACCAATTGATAGGCAGGAGCTGGAACCATTCCACACTAGCATCTGACTCCCAGAAAACTTTACATTTCTCTCCTGGGTCTTGGAACGTTTTTATTGTTAGGTTTATGTAGTAGTGTGTTGTAACTGTAAAACATCACACCCAAATTGCAGGCTAGGCCTGCATGTGAAGAATTACAACCTTATAATCCGTCACCCTTTGTACTACGAGAATTAAGGATTGTGTTGCACCTGTCCTTGTCAGGAGGTGACAATCCATCTATCCCCTCCAGTTGTTTAATTAAGGAGAAACTGTTTCAATATCAGTGTTGGAAATTACACTGTCCACACCGCAGTCCTACAAATCTTTTGCATTTTTCAGTGATGGCAGTTGGTCTAATTACATACAGTAAATAAACTAAAAAAAAAAAAAAAATCAATATACTTAAAATACATCAATACTCTAGCCACTTTACAGAAAAGTCATTAAAGGACATTCATGTCACATGTCTAAATTGTACATTTTTATGTGTACATTTTACCTCAGTGAGGTGTTCCAAAACCATCTGAGGTTAAATAGGCAACATGGTTTTAATAGTGTATGGGTCTTTACAACTTGCAGCTCTCGGTAGTGAAATGGATGCTGTCATGGAAATCTTGAGATTCATTTTGAAAATGAAAGTTCAACCCTCCTTCTGTAAACTAGTAATAGTTTATTTCATTTCAGGTGATCTTCAAGAAGCAAAGAAGCTTCTAGCCAAAATGAAATATTTTGCAAACTTAGAGGATAAACTAAAGAACAAGAAGATACCTTCCTGATACTGCTTCCTTTACCACTAAGAGTTAATGTTATTTTCAATTAAACAGCTGATTTAGTTACCAAAATCAGAAAAGCGGTGTTTGTTTCCTACATTTTCATTAAAAGTTTTAATTCTGAGAGAAGGAAGAGAAATATTTAAGAAATCCATTGCTTACTGTAGCACTTACTACATAACAGATGGAATCGGGAAACGCTTAGCACCAGAAAAAGATGGAATAGGTAAGGTAGGTATTCTAGCAGTTACAGGTATGGGAACAAGTATCAGAGAGGCACAGCAACACCATATGTAATTACTTTTTGACTACTAAAATATGAAGAATTTAAGTTGAGCAAGCGTCCTGGATGAAATGTTGGAGATTAGGCAGAAAGCTCATTCAATGGAACGTGCACAGGGAGACTGCAGAGAGCTTGGAGGACCTCTCAGACCATCCTGAAAAATCTCTAAAGGTGAAAAGTAATTCATTCCTATCACTTGTCTTCTCTGCTACTTAGTACTTTTTATGATGTTGATCGCAGTCTGCTGGGAATTTACCTTCAAAACTAGAAGAGGTTTTACCCTGTTGCGCAGTTTAAAATGGTAAGATGCTAGATTAGGGCAAAAAAATAAACCTAAACTCAAATCCCAGAAACTTCTGTTAGTACCCTTTCAGGAAACAAGTCTTTCTAATAAACTTTATTACAACTAGCAGTAATTCAGATAGGTGCTATACTGTCTTTGTACAGTTATAGTAGTAGAACTAGATGAGGAATGCCTTAAATATTTGAAAAGTTATTTAAGTGAAAAACAGCAACTAAATACCCCAATATATATATATAAAAACTAGAATATTTCAAATGTCGCTTTCTCAGTAGGTCAGTTCTTGTTTGTGTTTTAATGCCCCAGAATATTTTATTCAGTAAAGCACTAACATATGCTTGATTGCCCAAATCTGAAGAAGGGGCTTAGAAATACAAGAGCTACTGAATTACACGAAGAAATCTGCCAGGGTGAAGAATTCATTGAACACCTTCTCCTGGCATTTCTGCATCTCTACAACATCAAGTGGCTTCTAAAGATCAAGTCTTCTATGTATAATACAATTTGTTGTTAATAGCATTTCAGCAACGTATGTTTTAACAGCATTTCAGGAAGATTAACTTACCTTTAAACTTCTCTAAATATACAGGATGATTTAATAATTTCTTATTAAAGTTCTGTTACAGCTGTGAAATTACGTTGTTTTTTTTTAAATTCATCATGGAGTTGTCTTCTTTCATAAAGCTCTGTTTCCTTTTTTTTTTGTATTTCTTCCAAAATTAAGCTTGTGAAATTCCTTTTTGATTTCAAGAAAAGATTTGTTTTTTGTCTCAGGAATTACAAGGAAGATGAAGGCAGCAACTAAGGAGCACTCCAGTAAGAACACCAGAAAACAATATTGCTTCAGTCCATTCTGAAAATAAAATTTATTTGACTGTAACATGTTTAAAGTATAACGGTGGGTTTTTGAAAATAAACAGCTTTTTTTTCCATTCACACCTAACATTGCTGCTCATATATTTTTACTGAAAAGGTGTTCATCCTATCCTTACTTTACATGAACTTTCTTCTACCTTTTTTTTTTTTTACATAAAATACTACCATGTGCTGTGCAATATACTTGGTAGTCTTTTATTAAAAAAAAAAAAAAACCAAACCAAAACCACTTTAAAAACACTAAGCAATTCCCATTGTCACGACAAGTCAGCATTTTCTACTTAGCTGTCTCATGTTTTTAAGATTATATGATTTATCTTCTCGTGAATGTTTGTTAATATTTTTCGATACTATTCATTGAAAAAACACAACTATCTTATTGAGAAGCAGAGTTCAACCATGAAGAAAGGACTGTCAAATCAAGACACCCTGCTGTGTGCTGTTACTGTATGTTTTGCTCTCAATGCAAAGCTAGAAATGAAAGCCTATATTGTTTTTCTTAACAATCTTCCTGATCACAGAACCCTCTGTACGTAAGTTTAGCAAGCTCTCGGAGAAGGTGTGAACCACTAACCTCAGGCACTTCTACTTTACTTCAACATAAAAGCACAAAGCACTATTAAGAAATGTGTTATTTGAATCTCAATACCTGATTTAGGTTTTTCTAGTTTTGTTACCTTCTCCAATTTTTTTTTTTTAATCTGAACATGAAGACTACCCCATACACTCCTTTTAATTTTCATTTATAATGTTTTATTTTTTCTTGATATCGCAAAAATATTTCAAGAGGGACTGAATCTAGTTAAACTGGGTTGAGGGGTAGTATGCATCCTATGTTTAAGTGAGACTGTATAAGAAAAACTGATCTGATGGAACCTGAAAGAAGATTAAATGAGAGGTGAGGCAATTAGGAAAATGTGTTACGCATACATACCACTATAAAGGGAAACAGCATTCCAACTGTGAAGAAACTAATCCAACTAATAGTCCCTCCTATCATGTAAGCAGCAGGACGTGAAGACTGTGTAAATAATTCAGCCGTCAGGGTATTTGTTATGCCACCTGGGGGAGTGAGTGTCAGAAACAGAATGGGTTATTAGGCTTAATGTCCATCTGCAGTATTTCCAATAGCCAGAAAAACTGAGTTGCTTTTGAATATGCCACTTCCTGATCTGATTATACTAAAAAAAAAAAAAAAATTCTTCTTAACAGCACATTCTTGAATCTGCTGCCCATTTAGTGCTTCTAAAAAGTGGCTCTATTTCAGCAGCACTGCTCAGGGAGCAAGGGCCCCTTTAAAAGCCTAGCAGGCTCGCTCTTGCTTCTTACATGACTCGACTGAATGAAGGCCAGAACTGAGACCCCTCCTGTGTAGCTGGCCCTGAGAAACACGTGTGGTAAGCCTGGGGTTTGGGCTACGGGAGACAACGGTTCTGATCCAGAAAGGCTCACCTGCACCCCTCAGCCAGAGCATCAGCAGCCTCGCAGTAAATACTGCTGGGCTTACACAGCAGAGCTGCTGACGTTCCCCCCTAGGGCCCAGACACTCATTTCACCACTTTAAAACATTCGTTACTGCGCAATACCTGGTCCCAACCCAAAGCTTAAGATGAAGACAAATATAGATGTCATGCTCACATAAGGCATCCATGAGTACAGTTCCTGGAACAGAAGAGAATGAGGAGGTTTGATTCAGATTTTGATAATCCGGTTCTAAGTTTTGGTTTAACAGTTCTATTACCTTTAGCTATTTTATCGCAACTAAGACTGATAATCATTCATGGCTGTTTACAGCTAATTTATTTAAGAATACTGCTTCAGAGAAATCAAATATTACTCATTTAATCATTTTTACTAAATGGAGTCCTCCAAGGCTAAAAATTTACACCAATATTGAACATAACAATTATGTGGTGCTACCAGTTTAACATTTTGTCAGTTTATTTTGGTATACCGATCCCATGAATTAGCTGTCATTAAGGACTTTTACAGCATGAATAGACTTCTCATCACATTATTTCTGTATACATAGATTTCAGTAGTGCAGTAAAGAAACATTCGGATTACTATATGCATATGGAACTAGGTGCATTAGAAAGACCAAGCCTAAGCTCGAAATCCCATTCTTTAAAAGCAAACTGAGAAATTTACAAAAGTTACAACAAAATAATTAAACCTAGTCCTCTGCCTGACAGCTGGCTCATTCAGCTTTTTGCCTGCCCCAGCAGCTTGCTTTACTCCAACCACAGGGAAATTACTGAACGTGCCTTTTCTGCTGGCCAATCTCTGCAGCCCCTCGCCCACTGTCCCTCCGAGCATCGGACCTGCAGCTGCACGTGACCCACCTGTTTCAAGCCAGCGCCAAACACTGATGGTGTGGAAAGAGAATCCTACCTTTGTCAGATAAGGACTTATCAGGCAACCAAACACTGACTAAATCAAGTTGCTCACTGTTTGAGCTACACCTACATCATCTTGCTTGGATTACCCAAAGGTAATGATAAATATTTAGCATAGTACAGTCTGCAAATCTAGACAGATTTCCTCTAAACATTAATTTCAAGTTTGTGGGGCTGCCTTATTTGAGCTGATATGGTATACAGAACAATTTCCCATGCATCTCTTTATATTACAACAAAAAGCGAGGCAGGATGTTGTCTTCACATGATAAATTCATGGCACTGTGAATATTTCTAGTGAGTTTCCAACAATTTTTGTGAAATTACACTTAACGGATTTAAGTGTCTTGAATTTCAGCATCTTCACAATACTTTTTGTTTGATTGTTTGCTTTACAGTTAAGTGACTGAAGTGGACTCTGATGTTTAATATCATCGCTATGTAATATTTCACCCTAAAAATTACTTTAAAAGCTAGAATAAATGCTGTTTTGTCATCGCTTAGTTTTGTCAGAATTAAAAACAGCTTTAAGACAAATCTTAGCTGAGAGCATTCTATTATTTTAGGGAAATATGGCTGCAGAATTCATCAAATCTTTCAAGTGCTGTCATTTTTTATGCTGCTATTCAAACCTATGCAGCTTTTATCTTCCAACTTGAGTGTCAGAGATTTTCACTCACTACAGTCATATCATGTAATACAAAAGAGTCCTTCTTTACACCTGATAAGTCAGAGAGAACGTTAAAACAATGCTCCAAAGGGTCATAAGGAGATAACCCCCAATGATGAGATATCTTCTTCCCACGTAGTCTATCAATAAACCCTGCGGACAAGACATAATCTTCTGTTACTACACTGATCTCATATTTACCAGTGTTCTTCAAGAAGAACCGTGTTAGGAGATAGAATAGTTACTTACACAGGTGAGGGCTGTGAGGCATTCACAAGCTCCAGTGCCAAGCGTCACATACGGGATTTTTTCTGTTGAGATCCCAGCTTGTTCAAAAATGTAAGTTGCATAGAAATAAATCTACAACAGAAAAAAAAAAAAAAAAAAAAAAAAAAAAGGGGTGTTCCTGGTAGTTAAATCATCATCTGGAAACAAAGTCAAGTTCGTACTAAACATACAGTTCAATGTATTTTATATTGTGAGTTACTAATTTGATGTAAACAGCAAGAAGAATCTGTTAAATTCATGTCTAGGTAAATATCTTACTATCATAAAAGCAAATATAATTATTCAACTTACTGAATATAATACTTCACATTCTTAAACCAGACACAATAGGATAAGCTAATCAACCCTTATTTACTTTTTCAGAAGAATGTAAATACAGGTATTAAGTCATTCTTTAAAGAAATTTACATACCAAAAACACAAATATGAAAGAAAAAAAAATTACAAAGGTATTCCTTCCCACTTATCCCATTTCTCTGACCTGCTCCATGTGGAGCCTTTGCGTTAATAAACGGTTGAAAAATAGATGGAAATTAAATAATTATTTAAGCTGTTTGTACACATTAAATCTTACAGCATTTATCCCACTGAGCTGTTGGCCCATAGTCATCACAATCACAGTAATGAGCTGCCATCTCACATCACGATCAGTGAATAATTGCCAGGGCTTCTTCGGTTTCTCCCCATCTAAAGCAAAACATTCCCGTTGTATGTCTTCCATCTCCCTTCGATACTCCGAAGAACCATGAAATTGCTTCAAAGCTAAAAAAAGAATAAAATTAATTCTCTTTTGTTTACCTATGGATGACAACTTCTGGAAAATCATCTCTTTCCATGGCCTGGGTTTTGCTAGGATATGAAAACTTTCTGCTTTAGGAAGCTGGGAAAAAAGTAATTTGCTTTCTGAGTTGTTTTTTGCTTGCTCGTTTTCCAACACTTTCTGCTATGGTGTATTTGGAGACTTCAGTGGCATTACTTTGCCTTTTTTTAGAGGAATACCTGACTGAAATATTCACCAAGCAAAATATTTTGAAGTGTTTTATATCTGAACCACAAACCTCCAAATAGCATTTTCATTAAAGGACACTAACCAGTTTGAAGTTTTTTCTTGGCAGATATCAAGTCTTTTGTTATGTCCCTGTCTTTAATTTTGCCAGTGGAATGCATTTAGTGAGCTGGAGTAGAGATGGTAAGTAATTCTAAGGCAAGTATTATCAGAAGTCATTTGGATGCAAGACTAAAATCTTTGCTAATGTTCTAAATCCTCAGAGTACATAACATCAGTTCCTCTAAAATCTTCAGGATTAAATATATCTTAGGTGACAATTTTATTCTTAAGGGCAATGGTAGAACTTCTGATGATCCTGAAAGCAAGCTTTCCAATGCTATTGTTACCACCAACAGCGTAACGAGCTCTAAATTGTAGCCACTCTTCAGTATCAGTTCAGGAGCAACCATATGCTTATGTTGTTTAACATTATGTTATTTAACCATGATTATGTTGTTAAACAAAATAAATAAAAAAAAAAACCAAGAGGGGGAAAGACCTGAATATGGTACAGAGATCACAAGCTTCAATTACATTTAAAAAATTACATTTAATGAAGCCCAAGCTAGATCATAATCTGAAAGGGACATTATGGTCATGGTCATCATGTCCATGGCTTCCAAATTAAGACAAAATTAACTCTATAGGTCATTTGTAGTTACTTATAGTCACTAATATTTTACTCTTTGGAGTATTACTCCACCAGGTCTTTCTGGGAGGTGAAATAATATCCGCGATATGTGAGGATACAAATGGCTACCTCAGTGTCTTCTTTTGGCATTCTATTGTGAAAAAACCCTCTGGTGATACTTAGTTTCTTCTTGCAGTATAAAGAGAACAGTGTAATTTCAGGACAAAGAAAATCACAACTAATCTGAAATTTTGTCTTTCTAATACTTCTTGTAGTGTGTGGGCTTCACTTGCTCATTTATGCATTACTGCACAGCTATCACATTAGTTATTTCTTGAGTAGGGTTTGAATAAAAGGAGAACAATCATAGATCTCTCAAAGATAAAACGAAGTGAAAAGTTTAAGCTGTCACTGTTCTCCCAGATGATATAACAGGGGGAAAATAGGTATTTAGAAGATAACTAAATATTTTGAAAATGGAGGATAAAGCGTTTTCTGCTCAAATAGCCAATGAATCACGTCTTTAATATCACCTCTCAATAAAAAGCTCTCTAATTTTTCAGCTAATTATGCTGTCTCCTCTGTATGATATTATTTTTTATTATTTCTTACAGGAGAAGTACAATAGTCCCACTGAATGGAAGAAAATATCTGATGTAATTTATACTTAATCTGGGACATGACCTGAGAAATTAACAATCCAGTGAGAGGTCAGAGGTGAAGTAGTTCAGGTATGTTACTTCATCCAAGAGAAAAATGTATGAAACCTTTAGCGATTGCATTAGAAAGTAACAAAACAAGAATATATTTGAACCGAGATAATAAAGTCTTGTTCACAATCCATTGTAGACTCCTGAGTTCCACAATGCCCTTTTCCATATAAACCCACTGGAGGAAAAACATGGGCCAAAAAGCACTAGGTGATATAACTCCGCTGTGTTGACAAAAATAAAACGAGAATCTGGAACCCAATATACTCACTGCACGCTTCTGAAGACGCAAAGAAAGTATAAACTCTGTATATTACCTTTGGCACAGTTCAGCTCATCCCCTCTGTCAATAAGAAGATATCGGGGACTTTCAGGAAACCATGGCAGGAATAAAAGTTGGGCAAATGCTGGGAAACAGCTGCTGGATAGCAACAGAGGCCAATATGTTTCTCCACCTAGTAATTCCCTGGGAAAAGTGTGGAAAAAGAAGGGAAAAAAACCCCAAGTAATTAGCTATTGATGACTATTCAGAAGACTTTTGGGAGCAAGATGTTTGTCCCTTCAGAAAGGTTCTCTTGTAACCAGCTACCTATGTCTTGTGAACCTCAGCAGAAAGAGGCTGGGAAAATATTTTCCAGCCACTCTGAAGTCAGGTTTCACTCAGGAAGAGATGAGCAACACTACTTTACTGCTGCTTATTGCTGTCTTGGTCCTAGGGCAACACTACTTTACTGCTGCTTATTGCTGTCTTGGTCCTAGGCATTATTTTCAGGTCTGCCAAAGCAGTGTTTTTGAGCAATGCAGGAAAGTAAAAGCATATGGACTTCACCCTAAGGTCGGCAGCAGAACTTGCTTTTGAGAATCATAAAATAATTCAGGATAGAAGGGAACTCAGAAAGTCATCTGATCCCACCTCCCATTCTAAGTTGATCTAATGAGAAGGTGTATTACATAGAAAGGAATCATTAAAATTGGTATAGTTAAAATCTGCAGGATGATGTGTTGTGGGCAAACTTGTTAGTGTATTGCATTTTAAATACTGACCCTAGATTACGCAGCCTGAAGCCTATATTCTACTTATTTTGTAGTACTTCACACCTAAAGTATCCAGCAAAATCAGTTAATTCAGAAGCTAGTAATATGGAAAAAGAGAAGTCTAAGTGCTTTTGGTAGAGGGACAGAGAAAAAACAAATAATGTGCTGTTACTCTGGGTACTAGCAGTTGCTCTTAGGGTAGTGGAAAGCTTCCAGCAGACTTCATGAAAGAAGCTTTTAATTTTGAGGTTGCGCAGTCTCTGTTCTTGGAACCTTTTAAGATCCAACTGAATAAAGTCCCTAGCAACTTCATTTGATCTCACAAGTGGCGAAAACAGCAGTAGTGCTACAATACAGAAATTATGAGTCCTTTGCTCTCAAGTCCTGTCTTATGAACGTCCACTGTCTCCAGCAGGGAACTGGCAGAAAATATGAACTCAGCATAAATGTACCTGTTTTACTGATGCTGTTCTGGCTGACCCATCTAAACTAATGCTATTATGGCCACAGTAAATGTTTTGCAGGGAGCTGCAGGGAATTGGAACTCCTTACATGCGAGTAATGCAAGGCAGGAGAAAAAAAAAAAAAAAAAAGCCTTTCTAACCTCAAACCAATTATTTGTCCTGTAAGAATCCCTCCAGTCAGGAAGATGGAAGTCCCCATGGCCATGCCACCTCTAAGATGTTTTGGGGCTACCTCGCCAATATACAGAGGCTGCACACAGATCCCAATACCTGCAAGTAAATGGAAAAACACTTTCCTATCAACAGATTTTGCTTTGAAAAGAGTTACTGAAACAAAATGTAGGAAATCGGACTTACTTAATTTCCTATTAATTTAACTGCCTTCGGATTCCAAGTCAGACTACAGAACATTTTTGTCATCATATCTACAAAGCAGCATACAAACACATATCATAATACCTAAAGAATCAGCAGTAACAATAATATATCATTCACCACAGTTTATTGAAAGTAGGAATATGAAAGTAGGAAAATTCACCTGAATTTATGCCAATCAAAAACCTTCCAGCAATCAGTAACTCAAACAATCCTGTAGGAAAACTGATCCCCACTAAAAAGGAGGCCAATATTGCTATAATATTATTCATCAAAAGAGCTCCTTTCCTAAAGAGGAGAGGAAAACAAAACACAACACAACATTAAGGAAATCTGTAGTAAGATGTTTTTTAAAGTTTTTGTTCTGGTAATATGGAAAAAAATGGGCTTTATACTGAAGAAACAGGATATTCACTGTAAATCCAAATATCTGATACAACTATTTTCTCATACTTTTTTTTAAAAAAAAAGTGTAAACATAAAGATAACACATAAATATGACAGAAATGCCTAACAGGGTGGGAGTAGAGTTTTGTTCATTTATGCTGTATCTATACAGAACATGCATGAAATGTTACAGATTACATAGCATGTCCTTACTGACATGAAGGCTGCAAATGCATATGGGAAACCTGTGTTTCCTACCCTTACAGTATGGGCATACTCCTACTTGGATTTCAATAAATGTAATGGAAAGACTAGACTGGAAGGCTATAAATCAGGGTTCATCTTTTAAAGTCACATTAGAACAAACTGTAAAACTCTCCTAGAAAACTCTGCTTTGAAGTGAAAAACACTTATAGTCACCTAAGGTACATTTTCTCCCACTCTTTTTCCATTTATTTACTTTGTATTTCAGTGAGAAAGTAGGAAAACAAAACATGCTGCTATATGCCTGCTGTTAAACTCACCTGCCTAGCCGAATCGCCATGCTGCCTCCAATAAGGGCTCCGCAGAGGCCTCCAAGTGAAAATACAGAAGCAATGACAGACCAAAGAAAAGTCAGCAAATCTGGATTTACTTCCTTGTGATAACGACTAGTCCAGGTTTCATTTAAGAACCTGTGTATATGCTGCAGTAGAAAAGGATGAAGCATGTGTAGCATTATGCGTAGCCCAGCAGCACAGCACTATAAATAACCTGCACCTCAATCCTGAAAACCAATTCTGAGAGCTAACAAGATACCATCTTAGTTGTATTATATTAAAACCACCAATGACTATCAGAATCTTCCTTGATCACAATACCATTTCCTACTCTCCATACATCTCAAAGACTGCTGAGCAGCTCTGCTTTTGTACCCTACCTCAGGGGAGGCTGTACCCCACTAGAGGAGAAACAACCTTTCCATATACTGCCACAAAAGAGCTTGGAGGTTCTTTTGAATGAAGGGGGGACAGGGTAGATGAGTAGGTCCTACTGTTTTTTAGGAACATCTCACAGCACAGAGGTCTCACATAACGTAGAAAATTTTACTGTCAGAAGACTCATTCTGACACTTGATATAAATCTTCCTTAGTGTAATCCAACAATTCACAGTAAAATCCCTTTCTGCAACTCTAATATTCCTCTTTCTTACAGTATTAATGTGTCAGAACTTTTAAACTGTCATTCTACATGCATTGTTTCCTAAAATTTGTCTGGCAAAACTCTTGAACTGACATGTATCTGTAACCAGAGGCTGCTGTTCTTAGCCTGCAAAGACTTAACAGAAGAACAAATTTCCTGGACACTCTCTCTGTTTCCAGCATATTACATGTTCTTTCACAAACAGCTTATTTTAAACTTTGTAAAAAGCATACAATGTTGTAGCAAATTCAATCTTCAGTTTCACAATAAAATAAATCAGCTGACAGCAGAAAATTATACCCATCACTTTCACAAGACCATTTGCTCAGATTCTACTGAGCCATCCACAAAATTGGCAGAATCCTCAAGGCCATAGAAATGGACGCAAAAGTGACAAGTAGGTGCAGACACCAGTGAGATACTCAGACACTACAGATGCAAGTTTTTGACTCTCTAAGAAGGTATTTCTCAGTAAGCTGCCTTGTGACAGACAAACGTAACTATCCTTTCTCCCTGTTATCCAGTAATAGGATGCATGGGAATGGTTCAGAGCTGCATCAGAGGAGGTTTAAACTTGACATCAGGAGAAACAGTGGTGACATTTTACAGAAAGAGTGGTCAAACACTTGATAGGGCTTCCTAGAGAAGTGGTCCATGCCCCAAGCCTGTCCATGTTTAAGAGGCATTTGGACAATGTCCTTAATAACATGCTTTAACATTTGGCCAGCCCTAAGTGGTCAGGCAATTGGACTAGATGATCATTGTAGGTCACTTACAACTGAAAATATTCTGTTCCATTCTGTTCTTAACGTTCTGGGGTATTTTAGTCAAAGATGTAACTGGAAGATGTTACTTATTCATTCAGTTAATCCTTCTAAACCAAACTTTAACAGAGGTATTTATGTGGCGTATCTGACAGAATACCTCTGATGGGAGGTACTCACAAGCAAATTCACATGAAACCATTTTGGAAATCAACAAGAATCCTTCATATGAGAGGAATCCTGCTTTGGCTCCCACTACAATCACAGTAAAAGTGCATTTGGCCGCTCATCCAGTTAGACAGGATACCTCTATTACTGTAAACCAACCCTGTGAACAAGAGATGGTATTTTACCTGGGTGGGTGCGTTGATAATGGAAACATTATACCCATACTGAAAGGTCCCTCCAATTCCAACTGCACAAACAGCCAGAAACAAGGTCCAGCTGGGGAACTAGGGAACAGAAGAGAGTAGCAGGCATGAAGAGAGATAGGGCCTTGAACCCATGTGCATATAATATCTAGGAGAAAATCACAGTGAAATATATAATGTATTCAGTTTTGAACAGTGAAAGTATTTGGTGAGGAAACTGCAAAGACTCTCAAACACCTGCAGCAGGAGAAACATTTCCCACTGACTTTGGCCATGATCACTAACATCTCTTAGAGATGCAACACTTAAAAGTATCCCAATTAAGTGTAGGCAAGACCACTATTGCACTGCTGATGGCATATTTACTGAACCCTGTAAAAGCTTTTTGAGTGAGCCACACTGCTCATGGGGTCTATTTTTTATTAAAGAATGTTAGGATTGTTTATGTTTGGTTTTAGAGTCTTACTGACTCGGTATAAGAATTAACCAAATCCCATTTTCTATGACTCACATTTCATCTGAGATGTGAGAAATAATAACAATATTTTATTTCCCTCAGCAAGTCCCTAAGTTGATTACTGGATGTCTGCAAGTTAGCAGGTACTAAACCTTAAATCACAGCATATTGTTCAACAATACTTGTATTCAATCTAAAGTTTATTAACATGTATTTTTAAATTTTTCAATATTGATTACCTAGTTACATCCCTAAATCAGTATTTATGAACTAAAATTAATAGATTTCCAGACTCATAGGTCTTAAGGTCAACAGAAACCACTATTATGATACCTTCTAATGTCAAGAGAGTCTGATTTGTCATAAAACATTACACTTTTGATGAAGCCTCTGGGTGAGAGAAAATCTCTAGAGGTTTATACAGTGTCTGGCTTTCTGATGTGATGCTTCCTGACTATGCTTTTTATTGAATATGATAGTACTAAAAATATCGTCCATTTAAAATGTTTAGCAATCATTTCATTAAAAATTAGGTTATAATTTCATTTCACAGTATCTTTTTGTCTAACTTCAGCTGAACACAACAATGTCTCCTATATTATAGGCTATTCTGTGATCGAATTTCCTCTTCCTTCACAGATGAAAACTGTACATAATTTTTTTTATAAGCTTGTACTCCCTAAATTTCTCATTGTAAGGTATGTAGACCAGTTCACCATTCTCATTCTTGGTCCAGTTCCTAGAAATGCTGAGATATTCCAGATGCTATACTGTATTCTGAAAGAGATGTGTATTTCCTGAAGATAATTCATCAAAACTTCCTTCATTCGGGACTGACATTCAGAAGAAGCCAAAACTGTAAGTAAAATCCAATTAATGTTTCCTTACAGCTTCCTGAGAATAAGAAGTGTTCCTCTGAATGCCAAACAAAGTAATTAAGAGTACTAAATAAGGGCTGAAGCAAGTATGGTTGAAAAAATAAAACTAGAGGTGGTAAATAGAGGCACTGCGCACTCAGACTTTTCTATTAACCAAACACTGTATTTTGTGTCTCTCATAGGTACAACCTGAAATCTAGAAGAGACAGGAAACAAACAAATAAACAAAACCTGAATCATTTACATACATCACATAACTTACATTTTGTTATGGCATCTCTGTTCTTCTTCCCACCCAAATCCACCCTCTCATTGCACTAACATGTTGTGTCATATTGGAGTTTGGGCCCCAATTTCTTAGAGGGTGGACAACAGCCTTAGCAGTTCTGTAAGTTACTTAACTCCTGACGGCTGATAAGCAATTTCACCACATTTCAGAAACACGCCACAAACAAAATTCAATTTATATTCAGTGTAAAACATAAGAACGAGACATCGTGCTTTTACAGCTTCCATTTTATAAACACAGCTACGTGTCTAAGGAAAACACAAAACTTTTAAAGAAAAAGACATTAGATGTTGAGACTTGTAAACATGAAAGAATCAGAAATTTTCACATCTGTGCAACGCTGTTAAAGTTACAAACTCTCTTGGCCTCTACACCCATCTTCTGAGGCCAAGACAGTTCAGCTTACCTTGCTGTGCGTGCTACACCCTCTGAGCAGGGGCTGGTACTCCATCCTTAGTATGGGCTGAATTTTATTTCCTTTGCAAAATTTGGTAAACTATGCTACAGGAATAAAAGGTGCCAAAGAAACGAAGTTACTGCCGTATTAAAACACAGATTTTTGCCATCCGTCTCTAGCCACTCGGATTCTTCTCAATAGTTGGTGACTTTTTTATGCCAGACATGTCCAACTTGCATAAAGCCTTACAGGAGCTACAGAGAGCTTCGCCACGCTTAACACCGCAGCACACGCGCTTTCTCCCTTTAAGTCTGCGCAGAAACATATCCCTCAGCTCCCCGCTGGCTGTAGCTTTCGGCTACTGAAGCGAACGACTGGGCGATTACCTTGTGCTTTGGCGTCATACCTCCCGACAGCTCGGGACCGCAGCTCCGGCCCGCGGCTGCCAGCGGCCCCGGCTGAGCCCCCTCACCTGACGGGGATTTGTGGCGGCGCGGCCCGGCCCGCCGGCTCTGGCTGCCGCCTGCGGAGATCGCGCCAGGCCGCGGACAAAAGCGGGTCTGTCCCGACGCTCCCCCGGGAGCCAGGGCTTTGTCGCCGCCAGGGAGAGCAGGCGCCTCCCGCCCCGCTGCTCCGCTCTGCCCCATGGCCGCCGCCCGCCCTCACGGCCCGCCGCTGCCCAGGACTACAGTTCCCGCCGCGCCCCGCGGGCCGCCTCCGCCCGGGACTACAGCTCCCATAGTGCCCGCGCCCGCTTTCTCCGAGCGCGGCGAAAGGCCTGGAAAGGAGCTGGGCTCTGGTGGTGCCGCGCAGCTCCGGGCCCGGCCCGGCCCGGCCCGGCCCGGCCTGGCGGTGAGCGCTCCGCGGCGGGGGCGGGCGGGCGGGCGGTTGTTGAGCTGGGCCGGGCCGGGCGCCGGCGGTGCCGCTGGGCCGGCTCCCCGGCTCCGCTCGGTGCGGGTCTCCAGCGGCCGGGCCGGCGCCTGCAGCGGGAGGGCGGCCTCGGGCCGGGGTCCCGGCACGTCCCGTAGCGCGGCGGGAGCGGAGGGGCGGTGCGGCCGGGCGGCGTTGATGCCCTCTCTCTCTCTCCCCGGCAGGAGGAAATGGCAGCGCTGGGCAGATCCTGCCAGGGCATCCCTGCGGGCCCCGCCGTGGAGTTCCCCCGGGCCCCGGCCGCTGCCCCGGACCGCCACGGCCCGCCGAGTGACGCGCGGGACGACCCGCAGCCCGGAGCCGTCGGCCGCGACCGTCTGCAGCCACCCGCGACGATAATGGCAGGGAACGGAGGCGGTGGCGCCGATGGCGGCGGTTCCTCCGGCCTCTGCCTGCAGAGCCGCTTCGACGTTGCCGCTCTGGCGGCGCTCGGCAGCTACGGCGGGGGCTCGGCGGCCGCCCCGGTGGGCTCCTTCCCCAGCGCGGCGCTGCCGCCGGGCCTGCACCAGCAGCAGGGCCGCAGCCAGTAAGTGCGGAACCGGTCACGGCGGGAGCGGCGGAGGGACGTGTTTCTCAGATGCACTGGCACTGTGAAATAAGTTTTCTTTTCGAGGCGGGCCATAATTTGTTTTCTTCTAGTAGTGTTTTGCTTATACAGTATTAAAATTGCATTGCGCTCATCTTGCGGCCTTGGAGTTTGGGGGGGGGGGATGAAGGAGGCCCCTAAAAGGGGAGAAATGCTATTAAGTTTACCAAAGTCTTGACATACTTTTAACCTCATGTACTTTTTTTTTTTTTTAACTTGCTCTTTCTCATATGTGAGCACAAAAAACTTAAATTATTCCATAAAATGTTGTTGTTTGGTCATATTTAATTTGAGTTTGTCACTGTAAGACAATGTATTAAGAGATGAGAGTTGGATCGTATGTTGCTTCTTGAAGCATTTGAATTTTAGCAAAAATTGGTCTTGCCTTTTGTGGAAAAAATAAATAACACAAAGGAGGAGAAATTAGCATGGAATTCTCCTTGGAGAACTGAGTAATTATGGTCTTCTTTGACTTTCTTTAGAACAAAGTGGTCATTTATTGTCCAAAACTTCCACTCCCTACACAGCTGATGATATGTTGTGACTGTTGCTCTTAGCTGTAAGTGAAATTTTAAAAGGGAGGAAAATACTGTTTGAAAATCTCAGTGTCACTGAAAGATATAATGAGAAGCTAAATAACCATTTGATTTTCTTTTGCAGTGTCTCTGTCCGCTGTGGAAAGAAGCATAAGCTAGAAGAAGAGGCAGAAGGGTAAATTAAATTTGTCTTTGATAGCCTGAAAAATCTTAATTTGTTCTTTGTTTTCTATAAACATTTGAAGACATCTCACCCACAGCATACACAGGAAGGGAACTTCTGCCATTGTTTCCACTTGGAACTCTTCCCCTGAATTGCACATGAGTCCAAATCCATCTCAGTTACCTAATTAATTGTGTAGCACTGATATTCTTGCATGGGTACCCACATTTTAAGAAGAGCAATGTGGATTTATTTTCTTTGTGAAGGTTGTGTTTCCATAGTGTGTCAAATCTGTTGAAATGCATGTCACTTCCTATAACATTTTTTTCCTGTAGAATGCCACATTTCTGTTCTGACAATTGTAAACTTACTTTGTTTCCTAGTTGTCCTGTGCGGAAGAAGAGACTGACAGGAGCCAAAAATTGCCCTTTGAATCCCAGCACTGAAGAATGGATTCTCTGTGCAGGTCAGCAGGCAGCTGGGGAGGTAGCAAGTCAGTATGGTGGCAGCGGTCCTGAAACTGCCATGTTAGAAATTCCCTGTGAAGAAATGGATCAGACAATGGGGGAACAGCAATGCGAGGTTGCTCGCAGGAAGCTTCAGGAAATTGAGGACAGGTAAATGCAGGGATTGAGTAGACTGGCTTTGCTGAGCTTTCCCTTTTTTGGTGGGCATTAAGGGGTAAATCTAGCACTTAGCAGCGTGATAATACTATAAGTCGGAGATGAACCTTCTGTTCAAGTGATTTCTTTTTAGACTACCTATGGTCCTGTGAGTCTTGGGACTGATAGCCTGATCTGAAATTAAGCATGCTAGAGCCAGAGACGCTGAGTAAATAACCAACTTTTCATAATCATTATGCATCATCAATATGCCATAATGTTGTTTTATGCTCTTTTGTGAGTATGCAGAGCTCAAATTTTAGTTGGTGTTACCTGGTCAGATGAGCTCAGCTTTCTTCATCCAACTACAGCTTGTTCTGTGATTATTACTTCTTAGCGCTCAAGACAGATGTGAATTTGTCAGTGTAGAGAACAGCATGAACTAGCGAGAGCTCTCTGCACATATGCAGTAAGACTGAGGTCTTGCTGTTAAATACCAGATAGCTCGATATTGGGATAATGGGGTGGCTATGGGCAGTCTCTTGCAATCATATAATAAATGTACTGTGCATTTTTGCCTCTGAAAGATTTCTGGGAATGTCACATGTATATATCAGTCAATTGCAGTTGAGCTAGTATTCCAAAACACCTAAAATGACCACTGCAGACAGTTGTTAGAAAAGCCAAAAGTTATATAAATTATAAAACAAGATTTTTTTTTAGATGATTACTCCATAGATGATGCGTGAAGGGAAGCAAGGTACTGTTAGATTATTTTATTTTTTCACGGGTAAATCAGAGTAGTGATATATGTCTTTATTGTCTGGCTATATCTGCATTACAAAGTCTGCTTTGGACCTCTCAGAGGATTGTTCCCCATCCTTCCCAGCTGCCCTGCTTTTAAATTTTCTTTAAAAGGTTGACCAAAACCAAAGGAGATACTTCCAGTTTGTTCTAAATGATTCAACTTTCAGTTCTGTTATAATCTCTGAGAAGTTGGTGCAACATTGTTAAAGAACAGTATTCAGTAGTTTCTCAATAATTCTTAAGATATGGGGAATTGAGCCGGTGAAGCTGCTGCATAACTGAGAGTCATTCTTGTAATGTGATTGAATCGTACAGTTTCCCCTGAAGTGAATTTATTTATTTTCTCTTAGTGTATGTCTGCATTGCACACTGCTGGATGATGCAAGGATAACAGAGTTAGCTCAGGTACCAGAAGTGGCATAGCTGCTCAAGTGGCTTCTGTGGTAACAGTCATTCTTAGGGTATATTGGCCCAAGAGAGACTCATGTTAACATGGCCCCGCTGCTTCTGGTACCCAGCCTCGGTCAGATATCTACACTGTACAATGCAGTGCACGTAGATCTAACTGTAGTCTGCAGTGGATGTGCCTGTTAACAGTATGCTCAATAGTGTTTATCTCCCTCTTCCCCCTCCATTCCTAGGATAATTGATGAAGATGAGGAAGTTCATGCTGATGGAAATGTTAGCAATCTGCCCACTCTTATCCTGTCAGATACCCTTAAAAAAGGGATGAAGAGGGATTTTGGTGAAGTCCTGACAAAGAAAATAATAGAATCTATGTAAGTTTTGGAGGAAATCATGGTGCTATGTAGCTAACACATGCAAATGAAAAGAGAGACCCAGTCTCATGTTTGTGGAGATGTCCTTAATTACTGCATGATGCAGCCAGTGTTGTACAACAGACCATCTATCTGGTCAAAACCAGGAAAAATTATCCTAATGAAAAAGAGAAGTGTAACTGTAGTGGTCATCAAGCTGTCTGTTTTGTAGTCCTCATTTGTATGGAGTGAAATTTGTTGCATAAACCATTATATATTGATTTTTATGTACTCGAGCTTCCAAAAGAAGAAGGTCTTGAAGTGTGACTGACAGTGGTCACCATGTTTGGTGCAAAAGAAAAGAAGGAAAATACAGGGTTCAAACTAGAAGTAATGGAACTAGTTAAGGAAGAGGAAATAGAGGGGAAAAAAAAAAAACGAAACAAAACAAAAATCAACAAAATGGTACATGGATTCTGGAATCTAGTTCCAGGCTAGCACAAAGGATGAAGATACTCACTGGTCTTCTGCATTTGATAGTTGCGATTGGAGAACTGAAATTTAACTGAGACTCCATCCTTTCTAGGAGCCGTCCTTCTATGGAGCTGGTGCTTTGGAAACCTCTTCCTGAATTTCTCACAGATAAACTGAAGTCTGTTTCTGTTAAGAACTTCAAGCAGCAGAGTACAGAAGGGTGTCAAGCTAAGCAGTCAACACCAAGAGCTGCTTTTGACCCACAGACTGAAACATTCCTCGAATCACAACAGACTGCCATGTCTCCAGATCCGTATGCTAGTTTGGGAGCCTCTGGGTGTGTAGAAGAAGAAATGGAGTTGTAGATGCCAGATTTGAGACTGGAAGTGGTGAGCTTCTGATGGTTTTTGTCGCTGTTTTTTGATTCCCTCTTTCTTTCTGGTTTGATGTGTGAATCTGAAGTTTTATTATTTGTTTTTGTTTTTCCTACTAACAATCGTAAGAACGTGGATTGGCCAGTTACAACTTAAGGAAACTGAAAAAAACCCAAGATTTCTGTACCCCAGTCTGTTAAATATTCTCGTTTTTACTGAGAAGGTAATCCAGAGTTGTTTGGAACAAGGAAGTAGCTTTCCATCTGGCTTAATGGTGAAATATCCTCTTAATTGTCCTTGGTAAAGTATAAAATCCAAATACTGAATGTAACTGTGGCTTAAGCCACATCTTTC